TATTTATGAGGCTGGGATTCAAACCCAGTGCTTTACACATGATAAGCATGCACTGTACCACCAAGCTATATCCCTAACCAAAGTTTTAAAATTTGGTGAAGTCTTAATGTATATTTTTCTTTTCATTAATTTTGATGTTTTATGTAAAAATTATTGCCTAATTCAACTTCAAAAATATTTACTCTTAAATTTTCTTCTAAGTGCTTTATATTTTAGCTTTTTTTTTAAGAGAAAGAGAGAATTTTTTAGTATTTATTATTTTAGTTTTCGGTGGACACAACATCTTTGTTTGTATGTGGTGCTGAGGATCGAACCTGGGCCGCACGCATGCCAGGTGTACGCGCTACCGCTTGAGCCACATCCCTAGACCAAGCTTTTTTATTTTAATCTTTGATCTATTTTTAGTTTTTGTGTACATTGTGTGAGGTGCAGATCCATATTCCATGTGTATTTAGTTGTCTCAACACCATTTTTTGAAAAGAGTGTTTTTTCTCCATTTGGTTGTCTAACTGTGTGTGTGTGTGTGTGTGTGTGTGTGTGTGTGTGTGTGTGTGTCCTTGAAACAGGGTTTGTATTGCCCATTCTATCCTAGAACTCTCCAGTTCTTCACCTCATCCTCCAGTGAAGTTGAGATTATTGGTGTATGCCACTGCACTTGTCTTTGCATTTTTGTTGAAATGGTCAGCTGGGGGCTCTCTGTAGAGTTCAGTAGTAGAATACTTGCCTAGCATGCACAAGGCCCTAGGTTCTATTCCCAGTACCTTGAAAAAAAGAAATGTTCAGTTGGTTTTCAACAATTCTATTCAGCAGTCTATTTCTTTGTTTAACTTTATGCCATCTATAGAATGTCCTTATCACTGTATTTTTGTAGTAAGTTTTAAAATGAAGAAATGTGAGTATTTCAACTTTGTTCTTCTTTTTTCAAGTTTGTGTAGCTATTTTAGGTTCTTTGCATTTCCATATGAATTTTAGCATCATAATGTCAATTTCTTCAAAAAGCCAGCTTGGATTTTGATAGAAATGACATTAAGGTTGTAAATCGATTTGTAGGTTATTGTCTTCTTAACAATATTAAAATTTCTGATTCATCAATACGTAATGTTTTCCATTGATTTAAATATTTATTAATTTCTTTTTAAAATATTTTTTAGTTGTAGATGGACACAATATCTTTATTTATTTTTATGTGGTGCTGAGGATCGAACCGAGTGCCTCAGAGGTGTGAGACGGGCGCTGTACTGAGCTACAGTCCCAGCCGTCATTAATTTCTTTCAACCATGTTTTATAGATTGTATATTTTATAGATATGTATGCACATCTTGTATTCAGCTTTTTAAAATTTTATTCCTAGGAATTTTATTCCTTTTGATTCTATTCTAAATGAGATTTTCTCTTAATTTCATTTTCAGTTTGTTCATTGCTACTTTATAGAAATACAGCATTGATCTTGTGTCCTGAAACTCTCTGAACTCCTTAATTATTCCTAATAGTTATTTTTGTGGATACCTGAAGATTTTCTCTGTAATAGCACATCATCTGCAAATAGAGTTTTATTTCTTCCTTTGCAATTGCCTAACTGTCCTAGTTAGATCTATGTCAGATAGATCAGGTAAGAGCATAGTCCTGTAGGTCTTAGAGATAAAAGTCTTTCACTTCTAAGTAAACTATTAGGCTATGGGAAACAGATTTTTAAAGGACTTTTCAGCTCTTTTATTCACTTCCGGTATTTAAAATCTTTCTATCAAACATTGTGGTAGAATATACTGGTTATATTAGTTAAACATGAGGAAAAACAAATCCTCTGAAAGAGGAAATATTTCATTTATGAATCACTTACCCAGGAGCCCTTGTTTTATTTGGGGAAGTCAGGAAATAATTTCTGAAGTAGCTGGATTTCTTAAAGATAAATAGAGTTGACCGTGCAAAGAGGAAAAGAGTGTCCTGAGAGTGATAAAATATCAAATTAAGTGAAGGCATGGCCTGAGAGATGTAATCAAGAGCTCCCCTTATCCACAGAAGAATGTTCCATCACTCCCAGGGGATGCCTAAAACCAATTGTAGTATCCAACTCTATATGTACTATGTTTTTTCTATACTATATATCTGTGATAAATTTTAATTTATAAGTTAGACACACTAAGAGATTAACAACAATAACTAATAATAAAATAGAACACTTACAACAGTATCCTGTAACAAAATTGCCACCCTCTCTATTCTTGTACTTTGAGGCTATTGTTAAGTAAAATAAGGGTTACTTACATAACCACTGGGATTCCATGACAGTCATTCTGATAGATCAGCTGGCTAAGTGACTGACTAATAGGCAGGTGGAGTGGTACACAGCATGGATATGCTAGACAAAAGGATGAGTCACATGCTGGGCAGGGGTAGTAGGACAGCAGGAGATTTCATCATGCTACCCAGAAGGGTACAATTTAAAACTGAAAAATTGATTATTTTTTTGAATTTTCCATTTAATATTTTCAAACCACATGTAACTGAAACTACACAACACAGAAGACTACTGTACTGTATTCTAGAGGCTATCCCTCAAAGAGTTGGTGCTAAGAAATGATGGCTAAATTATGCAGGACTACTTGAAGCTTCTTTTCACATTTAAGCTATACCCTGAGAGCAACCAGAAGTAATTGGAGGGTTTTAAGAAGAAACAAAAAAGATAGAAGAGAAGGAAATGAGACAATCTGGTTTATATTGTAGAATAATTAGAGTTTGGACTAAAGGCCAGAAAACTAAGGACTATTGTGGAAACCCAGTATTAAACAATGGTGCATTGGAGGATGTTGTAGCAGTAGAGATGGAGGTAAGTAGAGAGTCTAAAAAGGTGGAATCAGATGATAGAGAAAGAGGAAGCAAGGATGATTACTAGATTTTTTTCCTGGGAAAATAATATTGTTCTTAACTGATTTGGGGAATACAAGAGTAGTAGTTAGGAAAAGGTAATGAGTTTTCTTTTAGAGATACTGAGTTTGAGGTGCCTGTATTAAATCCAAGTGGGTATTTCCTATAAGTGGTTGGATTTGATGTCTAGAGCACAGACAAAAGATCTGGTGGTAACCGAAGGCATTAATGATATGGCAGGGGATAAAATCCATTTATTCAGTAAATACTCATTTATCAGTTCATGGTATACATTTAGAGATGGCACACAGAACTCATCTTGCCCTCAAAAAACACCTCCTACCATCTTGTGTCTTGCTTCTATCTCCCTATCTTTCCCTTCTCTGCACGACAAAACAAAAATTTCACATAACCTTACTGAAAAAGTAGTAATGTCTCTTACAGAGTATTATACTAAGCTTCTCATCCTTCACCTAACTCTTAAGTGTTGACTGTAGCAAGATTTCTTTTTTGCAAAGATATCATTGTATTAACCATATGTTTCAATTTTAGTGTCTTAAAGACTTTTCTACATGATCCTCTTGTGGAGTGGAGTAAGCCAGTAAAAGGACATTCCAAAGCAACACTGAATGAAACTGGGGAAGTTGTCAATGAAAAGGTTAGCAGAAGGTGCAACTTGATATGAGCTAATACTGTATGTCTTACAAATGAGAACTGAATACTGAATTCTTAAAATATTTCAAGTGAATGTTGATTACTCTGAAATCTAAGTTTTCTTTATTGTTATTTCTAATGTTAACATAGCATTGATGTAATAAAAGACAACAAGACATACTTGTTTAACATAAACATCTTACAGTTATGAAATAACAGTGGGAAAAACTTGGACACAAGTTGCCTGAGTTTACAGAACAACATATCTGAGCCTTACTACAGTGATATGTGCCATAAGCCATCTTGAAAAATGTAGCAGTTAATTCCTTACTAAAATTAGTTAAGTCTCAATTTTACAGATGACCATTTTTACTAAGTTAGAATAGATTTAAGGATTTTTTTTTTAATGTGATATATGTCCTGTGGATTAAACCCAGGGCTTTGTGCATACTAAGCACATGCTGTGCTACTGAGCTACACCACCAGCCTGAGCATTGTTTTTCTGATAACATCATTTTCATTTTTATATTCTGATATGCTGTTTTCCTAAGAGAAGAAAAAATGTGAAGTTTTTTTTCTAAGTAGCTCACTTAGAATTTCCATTTGTATGCGCTAATGTAATTTAAGTATTAGGTTATTAGAGCATTATTGCTATTATTAGAATATTCATTCAAATATATAATGTCTATACACATTGAAAGCACCTTTTTGTTGGTTTTGTATTTTTGTGTGTGTGGTCCTAAGGATTTATCCTAGGGTCTTGCACATCCTGGACAAGTGCTCTACTACTGAGCTACTTCCTAGCCCTTGAAACAAATTATTTAAATTTATTACTTTTCTGGAATTATAATGTGAAAAGAGTTTCCCTCTATTTCATGAAGTCCAGAAACATGTCCAGTCAGTTGATGTTGAATTAATATAACAAGCCTCAAAATCAATATCTCTCTACTGAATTTGATTTTTTTTAATTTGCTGTTTCAAAGGGGTATTGATTAGTAAAAAGTGTTGATATTTATTTAAATATCAAGAAAGTAGAAATTCTAAATTACCAACACCACATGTTATTGAGTCATTAGTCCTAACGACTTTGTCTTTCTTTTTAGGCCAAGACCCACGTTCTTGACATAGAGCAGCGACTGCAAGGTGTAATCAAGACCCGAAATAGAGTGACAGGATTGCCATTATCTATTGAAGGACATGTGCATTACCTTATACAAGAAGCTACTGATGAAAACTTATTATGCCAAATGTACCTTGGCTGGACCCCATATATGTGAAATGCAATTACTTCAAAGAATGTTATCTAGAATTAATGTATTCAATATTTATATATATATATATTTAATTCTAAATTACAACATAAGTTTCTTTATGTTTTCAGAGCAACTGGTATTATTTCTTTCTGATTGTTAATAAGAAGAGTGTTTTGGGTGGTTTTTGTTTTGTTTTGTTTTGTTTGCAGTACTGAGGATTGAACCCAGGGTCTCACACATGGTGTACAGTCTACCACTGAACTATATCCCCAGCCCTATTAATAATGTTTTAAGATAATATATGTTATTAAGATAAATTGCTTAACACACATGGTGTATTCTAATTGAAGAAATGAAACATCATATATTCATATGGTTAAAGAAGTATTTGCAAGAAAACAAGCCAGCCTAATTTCATTTTACAATTTTTATTGGTTTCTTTTAAAAAAATAATAGTTGGCATAAGGATTCATTTTGACAACAAAATTAAATCCAGCATTTCTGTACACTTATACACAGAACTGCCTCTTTTGTCCTTGTGGAACTGACAGCCTGAGAGAGTCAAACATAATAGCATATGATTAAGTTCGCTTAATAATAAAAGTCTTTTTTAGTATGTTTGAAAGTGTGATGGGGAAAAATTCAAGAAATGTGAATAAAATTCTGTAATATTTTTGTTTTTATTTTATTTTTTTCCAGTGCTAGGAATGGAACCCAGGGCCTCATACATGATAGGCAAGCACTCTACATTCGAACTACACCACCATTCCTAACATTCTATAAAATTTAAAGATGTTGCCATACTCCAGGTGTACTAGAATGCACTATCTAGTGTTCATAGAAGATAGCAACACTCAAAACTGCATGAGATTTTAAAGTCGGAAAATAATCAAATGTTAAAAATTTTTTTCCGAAGACTTAAAATAATTAGGCAGCAATGCGGTTATTACATTCAAATAATTGGAAAACTCGAAATAAGTTAACAATAGAACTCAGCCTTGTGAAAACTAAACATATAATTTCCTTCCAGGGGCCTAATGTTTACAGTTAAAGGCCCTCTAATTCAGAAAAATTTTCGCAACTTTCGAAAAGAGCAGGTTATTTGTTTTGGAAGTACTGGAACCCAGAGCACTCTACCACTGAGCTACACTTATCCCAACCCTCTTCCTGTCCTGTCCAAGTGTTTGGAAAAATGGGGTTGATTCTTTCTAAAACAATTTCTTTTGGCACTGGGGATTGAACTCGAGTTGCTTTACCACTGAGCTACATCCCTACCCCTTTTTATTTTTGAGATAGGTTGAGCAAAATAGTAGAGACCTACAGGCATACGCCCGAAAAGCACGCTTTGTTTTTTGTTTGCAGGTTTTCCTTTTTCCAAAAAATATTTTTAAAGGAAACTTTACTGTAGGCTTACATTCCTAAGAAAATAACGAGCTATCGCAAAATAAAGTCAAATATATCGCTAGACATTTTCTAAATCCGTGCTGAAAAAATACTGATTAGCAACACAAGGAGGCAGAAGCAGCCAGGATAAAAGTCGGTGTTCAGCACCCTTCCAACAATCCCATCAGCTGGCATTCTCAGGGCTAAGGCTCAGAGATCCTCACAGCTCTTAGGCCGCCGCCAGCACCTGGGCCTCAGGCGGCGAGGCCAACGGGAATAAGCCCCGCCCCGGGACGCGGCCGCGAATCCCGCCGCTCTAGGCGCGCAGGGCGCTCTCTATGGTCGGTTGGGCGGTGTGTTGTCATCGGCGGAGCGACGGCCGGAGGCGGCGGCGTAGGCCCCGGCGGGGCGTTTAGTTTCGGTTTGGCCCTGTCTGCAATTAGTGTTGACTGTCGAAATGGGAGTCCCCAAGTTTTACCGATGGATTTCGGAGCGGTACCCCTGCCTCAGCGAAGTGGTGAAAGAGCATCAGGTGGGTGAGCGCGGGCGGCGGTTCAGAAGGCCGAGGACCCCGGGCTCCGCGGCCCTCTGCCCACCCGGGACCGCAGCTTTCCAGCTTCCTCCTGCTCGTCTCTGCTGGCGGAGGGGCGTAGGCCGGGGGACAGGAGGTTTGAGGGCGCTGGGTGAACCGACTGAGGTGCCACAGGCGGGTTGCGTTCCTTTTACCAGACCCGTGGGGCTCCCGGCTAGTCTGACAGCTCCTGCCCGGGCAGGGCCTTCCGCGACTAGGAAATAAGTCCTGGGTGGGAACGCTCCGCGAGTTCGCCCCTTCCCTCAGCAGGCAGCTGCAGGTTTCCTCCGCCCTGATGGAGGGGTGAAACTGAAGGACAGACCCCCGTAGATCCCCCAGCCCACCAAAGGAGCAGACCCACGTACAAACAATAACAGCCGCCTCCGCAGTTGAATCACCTTGTTTACTTTCCCTTAGAAAGAGCTGCATCCCACCTACCTCACTCGCAGCACCTAGACTTTTTGTCGTGGCTGATGGTTCATATTTATGATGCCTTTTCAATTATCTCAAATACATTATCAACTCCCCCAGCTACTCGGGAGTCTGAGACAGGAGGATCACAAGTTCGAGGGCAGCCTGGCAACTTAGCGAGGCCCTGTCACAAAATAAAAAGGATTGGAAACTATCAAAAGTACCCAGTGGTAAAGCGCCCCTGGGTTAAATCCCCAGTACCTCTAAAGGAAAAAAGGTATCAATATCAACCCCCTTTTGCCATAACAAAAATAATAATGATGAAAATAATAGTAATAGGGTCGGGGGAGGGCTTTAGAGGCTTCAGTGCATTAGAGAGCACGAGAACATTATTGGTACTAATAACATTTGGCATGCAGTGAGCACAGAACAATGATTATGTGTAGAGTCCAAAATGTATATTTATATATTTATGTACTGGAACTGTGAAAGGAAAACAGTGGTCTGTTAGGTAAACTAGACTTTGGGGGATATTTTAGTGTTTCTTACTTTTAATGAATTTAATAGATCTTTTTACATTTTATGTTTGACGGGGGTGGGGGAGGGGAGTCATTTGGAAAGTTTATATACCTGATTAAATTAAATTTATATACCTGATTAGATTGTATTAATAGTGGCAGTTATTACATTATGGTTTAATTTTTTTTTCAAGTACTTAAATGCCTAAAGATAGCACTAAACTGGGCTGGAGATGTGGCTCAGCGGTAGCGCGCTCGCCTGGCATGCGTGCGGCCCGGGTTCGACCCTCAGCACCACATACCAACAAGCATGTTGTGTCCGCCGAGAACTAAAAAATAAATATTAAAAATTCATTCTCTCTCTCTCTCTCTCTCTCTCTCTCTCTCTCACTCTCTCTCCTCTCTCACTCTCTCTTTAAANAAAAAAAAAAAAAAAAAGATAGCACTAAACTTCTGCAAAGGATTTTTTATTTTGTTTTGTTACTGGATTCCAATCTAATTTGAGATTTTAGAAAAAGCTTACCAGAAATTCCAAAATGCTAGCTTATCTATCATTTGTTTAGAGCATAAGTTGAGTTGGATATACAGGGACATTTATTCCTGGGAGGAAGGTTTAAAAGGATACTAGTATATTGCAGAAATAGAGACAAACTGGCTTTTCCTGGACCCTTCAATCAACAAGTATTTGAGTCACTTTTTCCTCTAAAATGAAAAAATAAGGTGAATGCTATTCAGAATGACTTGATAACACATAATTTGTTTGATAATATTTTTATTCAGTACAGAGAGCTTGGTTTAGTGAAAATATTTTGGGTTCTCTATTCTGAGGAATTTTGTTACTGAAAACATAAGTAATCTTAAAGGCATTTTTATCACATGGACACTAAGGATAGGTTTTGTGAACACTTTACACTAGATAGAAACTGAGAATAGGATTGTTAAAAAATTTCATTGTAGTAAACCTTAAAACTAGGTGCACCAAAGTGATATTGTTAGATATCTGATCACAAAGAGACTAAGGACTACCAACTACTCTCCAAGTAATACTTAAAGATGGCAATACCTCAATATGTCACAAGTGATTCAGAAACTAGTCCAGGGAAGAAGGAATTAGGAGAAGGAGTGGTTTCTAGGAAGGTAATGGTGGTGACAGTAACACAGTTTTTCAGCCTCTGAATCTTCACCTGAAAACAGAAAGTGAAACTAGATAGTGAAACTTAAAATCAATAAAACAATTGCAACAAACCTTGTGACATGGTATCTCCATGATACTTTGGGGTCAAAATACTGCTAGAAGAGGACAAAGAAAGCATGAGGAAAAGGAAGCATGTTGGACCTCAGACCAGAACTCCAGAACAACTGACAGTTATTCACTGAAAGACTGTGCTAGTCAACTAGATAGCCATAGCCAAAATGGAGAGCTTTTATTCTGAAAGACCAAAGAGACAGGAGCAGTATCCCTCCTATGCATTCTCAAAACTGGCTTGCCAAGGCAGAGCCCACTCTAAGGAGAAACTGCTGAGAGTGAAATAAAATTTTATAACAAAGCGTGCAGTACAGACAAGAAGAGAAAAGAGGAGACTATTCAGATAAAAGTTAAGGAGTGTTAGAGTCAAAAAAATCTTGAAAAAACAACCACCAAATTTTTTTAATACTACCCAGAGGAGGGAGCTTTGTCAAGTTAAAGCTTTTCTGAAACCCTACTCATTCTAAAAGCTCAAGAAAATTAAATTTACACTGAAATGAGCAACAAAAAGTATTGAAGTTGGATTGCATACAAAGTTATTATAGGGAAAATACATTGCTACAGACATTAAAAACATACAGTAAAGGGCTAGGAATGTAGGTCAGTTGCAGAGCACACATTTAGCATGTGCAAGGCCCTGGACTGATCCCTCAAGGCCTCCCCCAGAATTTTTTTTTTTTTTTTTTGCAGTTAAAAACATGCCCACAGAACAGCAAAACTATAACCCACTCTCTCAGAATGAGCCGAAATGCACTAAGAAAATTATATGATATGAAAGAACAATATATCAATTATGAAAACTGCGGGATAAGATGACAGAACCTAGAGAAAATTAGAAATGAAACCTAAAATGTAAGCAAGGCAAAGGCAAATAATGCTGTAAGACAGGTTGAAAAAAGAGATGGAAAGAAGAGAAAATTGTAAGCAATAGGGGTTCTTGGGAAAAAATGCAACAACACATACTAAAAGAAAACTTTCCTAGGGCTGGTGTGTGAGGCATTGGGTTTGATTCTCAGCACTGCTTATGAATAAATAAGATAAAGGTCCACCAACACCATATATAAATATATAAGTAAATATATAGAGAGATAACTTTCCTAAAATTAAAATGAATGTCAAAATTGTGTATTAAAAGACTGTACCCTGTACCTGATTTACCAAGACATAGTCTAATAAAATTATTGGACTCTATAAAGAAAAAGACTAGTGACTTCAGTTGAGGGTCCCCAAATGGTGAACAGCATGTTTGCCCCTGTTAGTGTCCCCGCAACACTGAAAGGAAAAAAAAAGAGTTAAAGTAAGGATAGCTGTATAAATCTGAAAGTTTGCTTCTATCCAGATTCTCCATTTCATTGGAGATTAGTTGATGATTTGGTTTTAGAGTCAATAGTACCACCACTGTGAAAGGAGAGGAAAGCAATTCCAGAGACATTTTTTCAAATAATCATCATTGGTTGGGAGTGCAAATCAATGGCAGAACACATGCCCAGCATGTACAAGGGTTCAATCCTCAGCACTGGGGGGGGGGGGGACAAAAAGCAACTGATTTCTACTCTTGCACCAACTCATTCTTTACATATCTTCAGACCTTGGGGCTTACCAATTTATGACCATCTATGAGCAGATACAACTGTTCCAGTTTCCAATGCAATATTCTGCATTTTAGCCTTCCCACCACACCTCCTTTTTTTTTTCTTTTTTTAACAATCTATCAACATAAGTCCATTTACTCTTTTCTTTTTTTTTWAAAAAAAAAGAGAGAGAGAAAGAGAGAGAATTTTTTAATATTTATTTTTCAGTACTTGGCGGACACAACATCTATGTTTGTATGTGGTGCTGAGGATCGAACCCGGGCCGCACGCATGCCAGGCGAGCGCGCTACCGCTTGAGCCACATCCCCAGCCCCATTTACTCTTTTCTAGAAATCTCTGGTTGATTTGTATCTAATGATGAGCCTCAGGTACAAACCTTGTTCCTTTTGGCTAAGTCATAAAACTAGGAGTATGATGTATTTTCAGGCTCTGGGGATGCTTAAAGGAGACTGTGTGTTTGTGTGTGTGTGTTGTTTTATTGTCATAGAATTGGGATTTGGGGAAAGGAAAAATGTAAACACATATCTTTAATCAACAAAGGTCATATAACTAACATAAACTCTTAGAACATGTGGAGTTTTCTTTGTGGTTATTAACCAGCATATTGACATCAAAATAGCTAAGATTTGTTAAGCACTAAGCACTTGCCTTGGAATGGGTATTGCTTTACATGCATGCATTCACTAATTTAATCTTAACATAGCTGAGAAAACAGTCACAAAAACAATTGTTATCCACTAGTGCATGTTGCAGCTAAATGTGAAACCATTTTTTGTTTGTTTGGTTGGTTTTGTTTTCATTATTGCCTCTCTGCTAGGAAGCCCTTTGGGCGTTTTTTCCTCCTAATCACTACCACACTTTCATGGAATTTGAATGCCACAGATGTTCTGTGTATCTGTTTATATACTAGAGTACTTCTTTATCTCTCTCTCTCTCACACACACAATAATTTTGGTCTTGATGTAAGCAATATTGTTGCTGTTGAAAATGCATATTATTATTAGTAGTAGTTTTTTTGGTACTGGATTGAGCACTTAACCACTGAGCCACATCCCCAGTTTGTTTTTTGACTTTCAACTTGTGATCTTCCTGTTTCAGCATCTGCTGGGTTTACAGGCGTACACCACCACACCAATACTCTTGATCCAGAAAGCTCTGTTAAAATGTACATTACAGGATTAAACATGTGAACCA